CGCGTAGGTACTACGAGTTTAATACCTAATTAGATATACAAAAAAATAATGGAAATATCGTGACAAGACGTATTTGAACGTATAAAGTTTGAAAACTATTTAAATTTTTCTTATATATATGCTAGACCTAGCTAATATTAGCCAGAATTTTTAATATTTTGCTTAAGTTTACGACTCTAAGTGGTGCTAAGAATGTACTGTATAGATTTACTGTGTAGTGATTTTAAATGTTCTCATTGCCTGTAAATCGATTTTTCGACCAGAGCACTTGCTCCGATTGGTCAACTTCACAACGGGTTTGTGAAAGCAAATTTTGTCTGGTTGGCGTATTAGGGAGTTCACATGTATTTTTCTAAATAATGGGAGAAAACTGTGAAAAAACATCTTTTTTTTTGTATTGTTTAACGAATCGTCGCAGAGACCTGAAATGTACACACAATTACACAATATTATGTATTAGCATTCTTTAAACGTGATACAGTTTTCAAAATTTTTGGTCGGTTTTGAGTTTTTTATAGTCAATTTAATTATTTTATTATAGTGGTTAGAAAAAAAAAAAAAAGGTTTAGCGTGTATTTTATTGAGCGTTAATTCGTATAAGCGTTTTATAAAAGATCGAATTTATATTAGAATATTCGTTAAAAATAACGAGTTTTCTGATTCTATAACAAATTAACGATCGTTGGCCTACTAAGTATATGTACCAGTATATTTGTTTTTTCCATAATGTAACGATTTAAAAAAAATCAATCTCTTATTGAAATGCGAATATCAGAAGTTAGGTGGCAACTAGATTTCGAAGAAGACGCTCCTCAGCTAGGTATCTAGGCTAGGTAAACGTTTCGAACTGCAAAACCTTTACCCATATAGGTACACGACTACGTATACGTACTAAATATTTATAAAGCACTCTGCACTTAATCCATATATTAATATGAATTACCTATATTATAACGTATCTTATTATAAACAAATGACTTGTATACCGGCGTATTATATGCCTATAATAGGTTACAGGTACGGGCGATGAAAAAGCAAAGCTCAAAACGACCTATATCGCGACACCTGCGGCAGCAGCATTTGACCAGTATAATATTATGTTTATGAATTAAGCAAGTATCTCAAAACGCACTTATACGGTTGTTCTTATTTCGTGCACTTATACAGCCGGGACAGACGGCGTTAAGCAGCAGATTGAAAACTTACGTGGTATAACGAGACAGTTATTATAACAGTCGGTGTTATATTATTATGAATCATAATACCAATAGTTATAACCGGGGCGCTATAAACGTGAACGAAAATGCAAAATTATTCTCGATTCTCGTAGCTATACACACCACGCGCAGAGACGATAAACAAAAATTTTAATAAATGTTAAAAAATACGCGAACAAAAATAATGTACCAATATCTACCTGTATAATGTATATTGTAGGCAATTCGAGTAATAGACGTTACGTTTTCTACAGGAAGCCGAAATATTATGCGTTCACATAAATATTTTTAGACGTATATAATATAATGTATGTTCATAATAATAATAATAATAATAATAATATACTGTTCATTATTAAGAGCTAGCGACTATTGCAGTGGTAATAATTTTCACATTTGTGAAATCGTGACCGGTGTATGCAGTTTTCGGGATAATAATATAACCTATATTACACTTGTCCGATGCCGATAAATAACTTGAAAAAATGCGTAAACATTTTTTTTTTTCCCCAGCAACGTGATTATTATTAGTGGCGCGGCCGGGATTCGAAGAGGGTTTTATGAATTTCAAAAAAAATTCAACTTTAGATGTTATTTGTTGGGGTGATGGGGTTAAGGTTAAGCAGTCCACGAGTAAAATCTTTAAATTTGTTACCTTTCATTTATAAACAACGCATAATGGAAAACTCATATTAATTATGTTTTTAAATATACTTAACACATAATTCATAATATGATAATAATAATAATAATAATTTACAATATAAGAATAATTATTCGAATGGAGCGCCTCACCATTTCATCGAGCACTGAAGCTGGTTTAACTTTAATGGCTGTATGTATGTTTAAAATGACCATTCCGTTAAGTCTTTGCTGTCCTGCAGTGTTTCTAAAATAAGTTTTTTAGCCTCTTAAGTTTAGACAATTATCTTTACTCTTCAACACAGGTGAATTTGGAAAATAGTACACGGTACATAGACGCTCGAATGTCACTCGAGTTTAAAAGTGTATTAATTTCCATACACTTGAGTTATGATTTTTATAAAATACGTCGTTAAGCTATCCGTGCTTACGGCAGATTTATGTTACGCAGTATCACACTAATCGACTTACGGGCCGCTTAAGCCACGTTAGACGTCGAATAAATCTAATGAGCTTCACGCTCCAATCCGCGTAAATATACACAAAATCGTAAATAATGTACAATGGTAGGTAATGAATAAATGTTTTTTTATTTGTTTATTTATTTTATAATATATATTATAAGTAATAATAATCGAAATTCACCAAGTCTGAATTCAATTGACCACGTTTTCAAATAATAACCCAAACAAATTTGGGGTTCCAACTGATATTTAACAAAATCACATTAAAAAATGTATGCATGCAAAATACCATTAAAAAAAAAATTACGTAAAAGTAGATGTTGAAAGTTTTTCCCTTAAAAAAAATCGCATATTCTTCTAGCTATATAAAATGTGAGCAGAACCTTGTTTGGAAAAAAAAATGATTTATTACAATATGTGCCTACAAAAAATTATTCAGAGTCAATCGCTAATTTTAATTTAATAATAATTAAATAATTAATTTTCGTAAGTATTTTTTTTTATAATACAATTTTTAAAGCATTACAAAAAAAAAAAACGGACGGATGCTACAATTTAATTTATATATACATATATATATATAATACATAATAATAACAATGATCTGATAAAATATTAAATACCTGCACCATTAAAAGTATGAAATACAAAATGGTACGTAAAATAATACGTAACCTTGTATGTCACAGGTGAAGTTTTGTGAGTTCGTCGAATTTACACACAAATTATATTGGTTTATTTTAATAATGTGTCAATTCGAATGAAAAAATTGGTCACATTTGTTTGTAAATATCTAAAACACGCCAAACAAAGTCCGAGTTGAGTAGGTCATCATTCTTATTGTTTTAAAACTAAATTATAATTACAACTATTGAAATAAAAAGTAAATATACTGCTAATAAAAGACAACGGCCCATTAACAATGGTGTTGTTGTCATAGAGATTATTAATGAACGACAATCATCCGTTTTCCGGCTAAGGTATTCTGTCATTAATATCGCTCCAATAGAAAAACGACATTAGACCTTTGTTGCATTTTTAATCAAGTTCATGAGTAAGCTGTTTGTTTTTGATTTTTTACTTAACTCATTGACAGGTTTATTATAAGTTGTATTTAGTGAAAAAAAAATAAGTGTAATGTAGTATTTATTTTTTATATAAAAGGGTTTTTAAATCAAATTTTGACGAAAATAATAAATATTATGGCCTTTCAAAAACATGTTTAACCGAACTCTGTTCTGAATCGTTTTATCGTGGCATTGACTTACTTACTAATCTTAAATATTTTTATAATTTCAATGTTTTTAAATAATTAAAATAATTAAAATTCATAATTATTAAAATTTTTAGTTTGTTGTAAACATCTAAACTAAATGAAAAGGGAATAAAGATATCTTGAAGTTTTTTTTAAAGGGAGCAATTTCCAATTGTTAGCTCCAAGCTTGTTAGCTACAAAATCTTGTCGAAATCAAGACAAAATCATGTTCTTTTAAACAAATAAAACTGGTAAACAGTTCTATTCTACTTATAATAAACTCTCCTTAAAATCTATTAACTTGGTTTTGTCATCGTTCCTTTGCAGATACTAATGTTGTAATGACCAGTCTGTTCAGGAAGCTCCTGAAACAAAAAGTAAATTGAACAATGAATTTCTCAATAAAAAAAAAACTTGTTTTATAATTTATGTGAGCAAGGGACGGGTTTCCATTGAAATATTTTTATGTACATATAGTTTGAAAGGTTTGAGTGTACAAAAATTGACAGTTGATATGTTTCATGGGCTTTTAAATAAATGAATACCTGCATTGATTTTGTTTTAAATTGTTTAGTAGGTACTTATTCATAGTCTTAAATTTTTCGGTGATAAAGGCATATTTTCTGTCTACCTACTTGATTGTGTTTTCTTTTTTATCTCCCAAGTGCTACAAGGAACAGTTTCGAATCCAATTATTTTTATTATGAACGGAAATGGTCTACTTAATTTGAAAATAGATGATCAAATTGTATCTAATGCTGAAAATACAGCTGTATAAGTCAAAGAAAACAAAAAATATGAATTACATAAATCAGCTATATCATGTTTGAGTAAAATTCTAAACTAAACAGATAATAACATTATATAACTTAATTTAGAAAAATCTAAAGATATTTATTTTTGTTTATCAAATTTTATAAAAACATTTACCCCTAATTATTCATTTAACTAATTGTATCCAATCCAATATCTGTTTATGCACGGGTATTGAAAATATAAATATAACCAAATATCTGGACGTCTTAGTTGATGAAAAACATAAACAGAATAACCACATTCATCACGTTACAAATTTTATCCGTAAGTTGTTTTATACGTTTAAGAACTTGAGGAATATTTTTAATCTGTAATTATTAAGAACAGTTTATTTTTCGCTAGATCAATCAGTAATTAGTTATGGCATAGTAATCTAGAATATACAATACACATGTACATATATTAGAAGTTACCATTTGCACTTTAATAAAAAAAAATATTAAAAAAGTTTTTATTCAATAGAAGATTTATATTGATTTTAATGTTTTTAATTTAAAACCACTTTACTACAAATACTTCTTGTAATTCTAGTCTTAAATAATTTAAAATTTAAGTTAAAAATATATTTGAAAAATACGAAAAATATTGAAATGTTTTGGTTTTTTTATCAGTTGATTTAATAAATTGTCACCAACATTTTCAATACGTCTTGTTATTGTACAAGCAGATAATGGGACTTCTTCAAACTTATGTACAATATCTGGACAAATATTACCGGCCATGCTTAGTACACATTTTTGGACAAATTCTGCGTCTGTAAATGGTTTTCCCTCTTTCGCAATTAACATAGCTACATTCACACTGGCAGAAATAACGGCTTTATTTTGAATAGTTACTTTTGAAAATATCGTTTGTTCTCCGGTTAGAGCTTTTTGTANCAAACAAGGCACATGACTTTTCCTTTATTTTCAATAACAAAGTATTGATTGCTCCATTTATGCTGAAATACACGACATTCAGAATCTATTTTTCTTTTTTTACTGACATTCATTTAAATTAACAGTCAAATAAACGATCACTATAAATATAAAATCGAAATTATAATGTTATTAAAACTACACAAGACGAAAAAAAACCGCACATACCCGTACGAAAAACGCAATGTTACTGAACACAATCGAAAATTAAGATTATATAACCCAAATACACTCGTTGTTTCTACTCTATCTTATCGATAACTGTCAAGGTATATCTACCATTATAAAATATGACTGATAGAAACGTTCAATTCTATTTGTACAATATGATTTTTTTTGATATGATATTAAATTAAATTTCGTTGTTATAGAATCTAAAGCGGGCCGTCGGTTGCCGACCACTGACTTAAATAACTAATAACATAATGTCTACTGTATATACTATGTCATTATAGACAACCTGATTGTCAGGAAGTCAGCTTTGTATTTTTTTTGTATATAAAAGTTGTTCTCTTTCATATAATTTTATAAATTTCAAAAACTGATCTATCCGCTTTTAAACCGCAACACGAGTATTAAAAACTCTAAACACTCTAGTTCATAAAAAAGCAATTTGAGAAAATTATTACTTTAAATGTCGGTATTGATTTATGTATAAGACAAAGTATTGGCATATGCATGTTCACAACTAAAAACCGCATTGTCATATATGTATATATTTATTCAATTAATTTAAATAATATTGACTTGGTATAAATTCAAAATATATTCTTAAGATAAAAATTACAACTGTGTAATTATATATAGCATATCTCTATATTGTACAACAACATTACTATAACTTTATTATAACTTAATTTTGGTAGGAACTCGCCTGCTCCAAGCACAGGTATCGCTTTTTAGGGAGGTATTTAAATCATATGTAATACAATTCTTTAGATTTGTTTCTTATAATATTTGTTTTATAATGGAATAAACAATATATTATTATTATTATTATTTGATTGTACCTAGAAAATCTTTCAATTTAAAAGGTGAACAAATATTTCTTACAAATAAAGTCCCTTCCAAGTATTTCCAGATTAATTTAACAAGGGGTTACGTTATGGTTCCCTATAATGCCACACGATTCAGATAAAGTTTGTTTGGAAAAAATTTAAATTGAAAAAAAAAACAGTTGCAACGGTACAATCAGATTGTTTTATAGTTTTATAAACAATGAAATATTCTGCTGACATTAACCGTATTAAAAAAAAAAAAAACTATACATATTTGTCTACCCATACTTACATAGCATTAAAACTTAATATTCGTTGACGTATTTGACTGTTTGATGTATGCCCTGTGGGGACAGTAGTTTAGTTTTAACTTTCCCCTTTCCACCGCCCCTTGCTCCAAACCATCGTTTTGCTGCTAAAACAATCTTATAATATTATTATAATGCATAAATACATCATTTATATTATTATAATATAAACGACCCTTTTAGATTTCGGCATTCGTGGCACGTGCTTCAGGTACTTATAACGTAGGGCGGGATACTGATTTAATTTCACGACGAAAATATTTAAAATACATAATAATATAAACTTAATAGTTTATAGTATTATTAATATCTAATGGAAGCGAATATTATTGAACATTTATTATTTTTCAACACTTTTACATTCAAATTACATATTAAAACGATATAGGCAATAAATTGTAACTCGTATTCGTATATTATTGTAACATTTTTTTTATGTACCTAAATAAAACCAGTCGATTATATAAAAGCATTATTAATGATAGGCATTACCGAGTGGTGAATAAATACTATCGAACTGTTCGATATTTTTTGACTGAACTATTCAAAATTATTTCAATAGTTAATCCAAACTATTCGGTAGTGAAACAACTATTCAAACTATTTGATGGTCGAAAAACTTTTCGGTCGTGTAAAAACAATACCTACTATGCAAATTATTCGTACCCATAACAGAGTAGTGGCTAAGAAGGCTATAGCCTCCCAAGGGGCCGTGTTAATGTATACCTACTATTTTACTATTTAAATGCTGACTACGTTTTTAGCTATTATTGTTTCAGTCTTGAAAAAACACATCTTCACTGAAAAGTAGTCATGAAAACGATTTAAGGGGAAGCAATACGCCAGAAAATAAACTCAATTAGTTAGCCATAAATAAAAAAAGAAGCCAAATCATATAATTACTGTTTTTGCTCTAAGTTTATAAAAACCATTAAGATGCAACTGTAAGTGTAAATATGGTAACAAGTTATGTCAAGACACAATATTATTGGTATTCTTATGTCAGTAGGAACCTATTAAATTTGTTCTATACAGTAAATATAGAAAGAATTTCAGGGGAAGGGGGGGTTTCAAATCAAAAAATATATTTTCATAATAATTAAAAAAAAAAATCAAAAATTCTGAAAATAAGTAACAACAATTTTGAGCAACGGTGTGCTATCCAATTTTGTTTCAAACTTGGACACAGTGCGACAGAAACTTTTCAAAAGCTCCAACAAGTATATGGAGAAAGTGTACTTTCAAGGGCTCAGGTTTTTAGGTGGTTTAAGGCATTTTCTGAAGGCAGAGAGGCGATTGAAGATGAACCTCGCAGTGGAAGACCTTCAACTGCAAAAACTGATGAAAACCTCATCAGAGTTTGAGATCTTGTCCGATCCGATCGTCGGTTGACCGTCAGAATGATCGGAGAACAGTTAGGTTTGACTCACACCACCGTTCATCACATTTTGACCAATGATTTGGAGATGAGAAAAATTTGTGCAAAAATGGTTCCTTGGCGCCTTGTCACACAGCCATTTCAATCAACCAGTTTTTGGCAACCAAAAATATTCCTGTGGCCCCTCAACCCCTTATTCATCCGGCTTGAGCCCTTGTGACTTTTTTATCTTTCCACGAATAAAGATTCACCTTAAAGGACGACATTTTGGGACACTAGAAAATATTCAATCATCTGTGACCGATGAACTGAAAGCTATTCCAGTAACTGAGTTCCAGAACTGCTATAAACAATGGAAACATCGACTCCAGCGCTGTGTGGATTCTCAGGGTAACTACTTTGAAGGAGACAATGTAAAGTAGTCATTTTAGTTTAATAAAAAATTTTTAAAAAATCAGTCTCATTACTTTATTTACAAACCTCGTATATATATAACTTTTATTTTTTCATTCGGTGGAAAAATATTGGCGACACCCCGTTAAAATTCCGAGACCCCCTGTCAAAATTTCGCGACCCCTCCCCCCAAGTTGTTGCGCACCGCTACTGATCTCGACACCGACGAGTGATTCGCGCGAATCCGACGAGAATGACGAACGAAACGGACGCGCAGATGGCTTTGTACTCCTCAGTGAAAAATACACATCCATCCATCGTTATTTACGGGCACGTCATGCGTCGCGATGGTTCGCCCGTGACAAACGCATATTACGAGAGCGCCCGCGATTCGAACACCGTGATTGTTTTTACAAAAAAAAAAAAATGTCGCCCTATAACGGCGCCCCCTCGAAACGTACCGCTGTGCGTACAGGGCTCGCGCGCGAAGCGAAATACGTCGGAATTTTTAAAACGGACTTGTGCGCGTCCATTTTTACGCAAGCGCACGCCCGTAAAACGATTTTACCAGTAAAACACACGGTCGTTCACAGACAGCGTTCGAAAACCGTTTCGTAATAATTGTCATATTGTCTGACGCACGCTGGTGGGCACCTGCCCAATGCAATGACCAGTGACAACGCTCGTTAGGTGCCTACCGACATTGCGCACGTCACACGACCCGTGAAGAAAATTATTTATTTATTATTTTTTTTTTTTCATCCGCCCGTAAATAAATATCGTCCGCGCGCTCGGAGACAATAATCTCACTCGATACGATACGACATAATTTCCGAACGGACGGACACGTTTTGTAGGTTGGGTTTTTTTTTTTTTTTTTCTCTTTATACGGCCAATTCAGCGAGGGTCCGCCGACACATCGTTGTGTTTTCCGGTTAATCCGACGTGTCGAGGTTCGTTATGCGCCGCGCGTACCGGCCGAAAATTCACGTCAGAGCCGAATCGAGCGGCTCTTTCGATATTTTCGACCCCGGACACGTTTGTAATGCGTTTCGCCGGTCGTGCCCGCGTTTTCGAGATATTACGGAATATCTACCACCATAATGAAAAACTCGAATACTTTTTATATTATTCGATGTAATTGTTTATACATATATTTATGAGTAGCAGTGTCAGATATCAAACCAAACATGGACGACGTTTTTTATCGGAAAAAAAAAAATGATATCGAAAAGTCACTAGACACATTTTTTGTTGCCTTTTTGATTTACTTACGGTATCATCGCCAAAACTTTTGAGCCACTTTTGAGGTAACAAGGAACTTAAAATTTTGGGAGTTTTTTTGCCGTGATTCGGTTATAAATACACGTGGAGACTTGAAACTTGGTAATAATACTTATATTGGACTTACCTAGACGCGGTAAAATTTCCAAAATCATCGGACGACTTTTTTTCCTTTTTTTAATAAACGTTTTTAAATCAAAAAAATCGCAAAAAAAAAAAAAATACGGCACTTCAAATTATGTATTATCGAAGGAGCGTTCGGAATCGTCTTTCGTCAAGCAATGGTTTATCGTTGCTCACAGGTATAAATGAAATAACCTTATGTATCCAACCTTCCCAACATCTCACCTACAACAGTGGCCTCTGCCATCCCCGGTATCGGCCTTTTTTTTTTCTTCGTTGAAATATAAAAACAGGGTGTTCATTTTTTTCCCCATTAAATTCATAAATATATGTACCTACAGTAGTATTATAATTATTATTATTTATTTTTTTTTTTTACTAAATATTGACTATTGTAAAAAAAAAAAAACCACCGCACGTATAAACGACGAACAATAATTATCACGACGCGAACACTAATGGCACAGACTACTGGTTAGATTATGGCGCACTGTGTCATAGAAACTGAATAGTAGATATAATAGTATAGTGTTTATTGTAATAATTGATAATATTATAACAGTAACCGGACAGAATGCAATGAAGCGACGAACCTATTATAATTCAATTTCTGTAGAATTAGATATTATTTATGTCGCGGCTCTAATCAGAGTACATAATCGGCGCGTCGTTTTCCGTACGCCGGAAATCTTACAAATCATAAATGTTAATAAAAATGTTTCCCGTTAATATCGCGGTCGTAACAAAAAATTATGTATAAATACAATAGTTTACAGTGCGATCAGCCTATCGTAAGACGCTCGTAAATCTCGGAAAGTAATAAGTTTTTTCCGGAATTTATTTTCTACGACATTTAAGAAACAAGCTGCTGCTCTACAATTTCAAATGTACGTTATTTTTTGTCGCCCTTATTTCCAGGGGTATGAAACCAGTGCCTACTTTTTATTTTCGAACGACAACCTATATTGAAAGGTCCATAAACAGATGGAGTATTATTTAAAATACATTTTAGTGTTGACATTTTTGATTTCCGTCGGTCCGTTGACGAGATATATTCTACTTTTAATTTTTGGTTGGAGCAGAGTGGTGGTGCATTATGAACTCGCCACGCGCCGTACCGCCACGCAAATGAGACTCCACTACACTCCTCCGACCCGAACTTAAAAGTGAAACATCTGTGAAATTAAAAATGTCAACACTAAAATTTATTTTAAATAATATTCCATATATTTTTGGAATTTTCAATAAAGGTAGTGGTTTTACCCCTAAAAATAAGGGCGACGAAAAATAACATACATTTAAAATTGTAGAGCAGCAGTTTTTGTTTCTTAAATGTCGTTGAAAATAAATTCCGGAAAGAGTTATTACTTTCCGAAATATTGAGGGTCTCATGATAGATTGATCGCTGCGTCTTATTTAAGTACGTCATAACTGTTAAATATATCTAGACGTAAACTGAACATTTCGTATAATGAAAACGAATAATTACGTTGTTTTTTTTTTTTTCGTAGTAAATGTAATTTCAATGGAAATATCATAGTAGTTAAATTTTTCAATTATAATCACGGGATTCGGAGCGCTAGCATTAAAATTCAGCGCCCCTACGATTCGGGCCGATGAATCACGGGCCCCAGGGACAAACTAATTCTTCCTAATGTCAAACATTGAACCTGTCACCAACACCCGGCGCCGTCCTTTAAAACGCGTACAACAAAAGGAAGGTTTAAGGTTGAAAGGTATAAGGTGTCCGAACGCACAAATCACGTTGTTCGCACCGCACGTAATATGGTGCGAAGCCACTGTACACCCGTATATTTATTATCGGCATTTAACTGTTAATATATTATATCGGTTTCTCGAAGTAAAACATTGCGAAATTAAACCACAAACAATGGTTTTTTTTTTATATTAACGTAAAAATGTTGCTCCGGTCGGGCCCGGGCCCTGCGCGGCTACCGACCGACGGCCACACGGCTGCGCAGTGTGACCAACGTGATTATCAACGTGACACTCGTAACGGGTTTCCGTGCGGAAAAATAGCGGCGGTCGAAAGCATTTTCTCGGTGAGGTTTTGTCGGGCCCACCGAACCCCTCCCGATCGCGCTAATTCCGCACGATACACGAGCGCGACCGCCGTCCCGGTTTCAACAGCGGCCCACACTGACGGCCGACCGTTTCGCGTCGCGCGGTCGCAGGCCCCGCGTTCGTCCGTTCGGGCGCGTTTAATCGGCCCCGGGCCCTGGGCCCCGGGCCCCCCCCATGGTTCACCCGCGTCGTTTCGTTTCGTTTTCCGCGACGGCTGCGGCGGCGGCGGCGTCGGGAGAATAACAGGTCCCGGCGGCCATTGCGCGTGTCAATTTACGCACGTACGCCGGTTTTCAGTGTCCGTCGTAACAATTCGTAAACATATCGCACGCCTATTACGTATTCCACGGGCCTGCGGCATTTTCGCGGCCCGCCGGCCCGTGTCGCGGTCTCGTATACGGGTTTTTCCAGCGGGCGAACCGCCAACGGGAATCGGAATCGTACGAATGTTCGGTAACCGTCGGAAAAACCGCGCAGGCGTCCCGGGGTCCGGTGTCGATTGGTTGTTGTGTGTCGAGTGATACCGAATTGAAAAATAATTGTCCGTCGCGGTGATATTATACGTCCATTTGGGTGCCCGCTGTTAAGCCCTTGCGCTGTCGGCAGGCGCGGATCCACAGATGGGGGGAGGGAGGGGGGCGGTTGGGACGATGGGGACGATCGTCCACCTCCACTCCGCACGTGCATTTTTTGAAATTATTGCCAACTGTTATTGTTTCATTGCCAACGAAGAATACTTATTTCACGTGTAAAATTGAAAAATCCATTTTGTCTCGGTAATTGCTAACTGAACAATCGGTCGGTTTGTTTTTTTTTTTTTTTTTTAATTTCAGACTAATTTACAATTCTTATATGATTCTCATCATACACGCCGACTGTCCGATTGCGTACGGCCGGAAATCGTTCAATCGCTAATAATTAAATGATTGATAGTCACAGAACTTTGTGTTCGGAATCCGCGGGGCACGCGTTATCTTACGTGTACTGCGTAAAACCGATGATTTTATATTTACGTACCTGCCGTACTCACAGTAGCGTATTATACGACTACTTGTGCACCGTACGTTTTATGAGTTCGCGGAAACAATACAAATAATTAGCCTCCGGTACGGGCTGAATAGAAAAAAAA